TATATTACATCGGTTTAAGAGATTTATTTTCGCGTAATAATAATGTTCTAGCGAATCCCCATACCGTACTCGCTTAGCAAGCATTTCAGTAAGGAGTTCAGCATAATCTTCTCGAACAGGAAAAGACTCAATAAGTTTCTTTTTCCATTCGGACCAACTAAACAGAACCGATGGCAGACCCTGATACCATGATTTAGCAACGCCGCGTAACTTAGGGAGCGCGTAGTGAACTATAGCCCTCTCGTCCCATCCATATATTTCCGCGCATTCTTCCACTTTATTAATCCAGGTCAGTATAGTCTGTTCCTTAGTCATCGGATCAAAATCTGGGATGACATTATTTTCATATGATAATTTAGGTCGGTCTGAATCCCTAACTCCTTTAATTATTGACAGGAATTTATCAAGTATTTGACTTGTCCTATCATGGGTAATTTTACTACGCTTGTATTTTGGATAAACTTTGACAGACTTACCAGACTCACCAGACTCACCAGATGATGAGCTCGAATGTCTTCGCTTGCGCCTTGTATGTCGGTCCGTGCTGGATCCGCTTCGCCGCGTCGTCACCCGTTCTTCGTAAACATCCTCCGCAGGAGACATTGTTCTTTTCCGGCTTCGTCTCATCGTCCTCCGCGTAACTCGTTCACGTCGTGGCCTGAAAATTCCAAACGTTCCTGGTCCGCGTCCTTGGACCTTATCATCATTATCATACCCTAATCCTCGGGTAAAGTCATTAACATCATACCACAATCCTTGGGTATCATCATCCTGCCCTCGTCCTTGGGCGTCATTATCCGGCCCTGGTCCTTGGGCATCATCATCCGGCCCTCGTCCTCGGGCATCATCATCCGGCCCTCGTCCTCGGGCATCATCATCTGGCCCTCGTCCTCGGGCATCATCATCCGGCCCTCGTCCTCGGGCATCATCATCCGGCCCTCGTCCTCGGGCGTCATTACTAGTTCCATGTTGGGCACCGGTCCCCTCCATGTTTCTGAAGCTCAATAAGGACATAGCTTAGTATCACGTAAGAAATCAAAAATGCTGATGCTAAAAGCGGACCAGATATTGAGAGCTAGCCTAGCCATTTTAAATATTCACAAAATCGTATGGGACATTCCGTTTGTCAAGTAATTATAAGTGTACGTTTCATTTATCTTATTATATAGTGTTAAAGTTGGTCAAACGCTAAACTAATTTATACCTACGTCTAATTTTGTACAGAACTTAAGAAATAAAATTAATTGGTTCAATTCAATTCATGTCATTTGCGATAACGCATTTTCCGGCACTATGTTAGTCGTATACCTTCTACGATATTCACACATAATAGAATGTCAAACTATATTAATATTACTATTTTTATTATCCAATTATCCAATTTTTTAAATATTGTCCAATAGAATGTAATTTAATTGCTTCCCTAACGATAAAGTACATATTACGCGGATATTAGGCTTAGAAAAAAAAAAAGAAACTAATAAGGAAAATAATAAGGTATCTAATATAAATATAAAAGAGGGAAAAGAGAAAAAAAAAATTCGGCGCTACTTACGTTTATGTAGGCGCGGAAGGAAGTTTTATTTATCCTTGTCGTAATCCCACTTCTGAACTTTTGGGGATGACCAAAAGTTCAAACAACAATATTCCTTGCACTCGTTTATTTAATCACTCGCTCCACAACATCGATCATCAATCCGTTTTTAGAATGATTACGTCAATTGCCGATACTTATCACCTTCGAGTGCTTTTCGGTTGTCGACTACTCAACGAATGAATCCGTCTCCGTGGTCGTTTTCACATTTATACGTTTATTCTATAGACCAATCCAACGGAACCGGACGTTCGTTCAGTTGTCGTATTAAAATAGTAAAACATTTAGTAACGATTCAACAATATAATCTAAAATCATAAAACAGGTTAAGATTAATTTACGGATGATTAAAACAATTATGTATTTTCAACTTGATACAAATAAAAGTAAATTATTAAGTTTAAGGAAGCTAATCAATTGCGCAACTAGTCTTGAGTCAATGCAAATACCATTACTACATGAATTACGCCCTCAATGACTATATAATTATAAAATAGGCACGAAGGACCCTAACAGTATGTTTTAAAAAGACTCTCGAGGTAAAACATAATCATAATTTTGTTATTTTATCTACATAGTTGTCTAATTCGTTAACAAGAAACCACGTCTCTAGTTTTAGGCGCATCATATTAAGTTACAAAACTTTAATATACCGAAGCTCAATCAATCGAACATAATTAACATATTTTCCTATAAAAAAAATATTATAAACACATTTTCCTATAAAAAATTCTCAATTCACGTACCGCAACAATAAAAATCAAATTAAAAACTTTTTTCATTAAACTTCTGCGATTCAGGTCCGACGAAACACCACAAATGAAAGCAAAATTGTCTCTACTCTTATGTTGAACAAAGTTATGTTTTGTTTTGCATAACCGTGGGTGTTCGTTGCCGGGGGGAGTCCATCACCGGTGACTGAGGACTGCCTCCCCCCCGAGAAGGAGCTGCCTCGGCAGCTGGCGTAGAGCCGCGGACGAGAGCAGAAGCGGGCGCGTGGTCCCGTCACGATGGGTTGGAGGAACAGAGAGGTTTAGTGGGTATACCTCCGCTATGGAGGATGGTGTTCATTGCCGAAACAATTGTATGAAAAACATATAATTTTAGTAGCTCTTTCAATGAGAATGGAAAATATGTTTACGTGTTTTTGTACAAGTGTTTCTGCTACGGAGACCTATCGTAAACATATATTCAACTAGCTGTTTTCCGCGACTTACTCCTCGTAAAGTTTCAAGGGTCGAAACAAACTTCAAGCTCGAGCTCGATTTCCGAGTTTCTGTATACTTTATTCGAAACAAAATTTCAAACACTATTTAGATTAGTCTTTAAAGTATTATTTTAAAAAGCATGAGAAACGTAGGTTCATATTATTCCTTCTGTGGGGAGAAAGATAGCCCGATGAATTATTTTCAAGTACTACTGCTGAAGGAAAAAGGTTTTGGTCATGTGTTTGCCCTTACATATTGCTAGATGAGTTTTGAACATAGAATTCTATTCTATATATTATACTTTGAATATATTATAGTATATTAATTGTGTAAATTTGCGAAGAATATTACTTGACATAAATCGGAGTCTTGTAAATAAAATTCTAATAAAAATTGAAAGAAAATAAATATATAAATATTTAAACACATTTCGGATTTCGCTTAGCTGTGATAAAGAATTTATAAAGCGCGACGTTGTACAATTTTATTCGTGAAAATTGAACGAAATTCAAGGTGTTAAAAATTCAACGAGGAAAATAAACTCGTCCGCGCGGACCAAGATTCCCGGAAACTTTCAACATAATTATATTACATAGAATTGTGACTAGAAAACTGTATTCATTTATCTTACAATAAAAATATAAATAGTAGTAGTAGATTTTAGAAATTATATAATTTTTTTTATTTATGTATAATATGTCTTTTTATAAAGAGTTTAAGTTCATTCGCGCAATGTTTGACAATACTGGATTCTTTTTTAGAAAATATAAATTCAAAGAAAAATATAAAATGATAATGTTTTTGATTTCTTTTTTAATCCATAGATGGCACTCATAAATAAATTATGAACAATTCATAGAAAGTGTTTGATTCTATTGTCAAATTCTATTTGATGGATTTCCTTACATTTTTTGCGTTCGTATATATTTAAAATGTTTGCTCATAATCCTTAATATTCATAAATCTCCAATTCTACACTGATACGTTATAGTTTTCTTTGACAAATTCCCAACTAGAATTGATATATAGCTCTTGAAATGTAAACGATGTAGCAAGAAATGTTAGGACATCATTTATCTGAGACTAGCCAACAAGCAATGTCGAATACACGTTGTATTCGACAGACAGCAAATATTTCAATTCGACACTTTAAAATTTAGTACTAGTAGTAATTTAGTAGTAGTATTTTTTTAATTGTGTTTTTTGGAAATTATATTTAAGTACGAATTACTAGTAAAATGATGAAATATGAATAATATTTTTCAATCTTACCGATAGAAAAGTTAAGTTTATGTTTAAGTTGATTATCGATAAAACACGAATAAAATAACATTTTCTAAAAGTGATTTCTAGCTAGATCGATTTATCGCCACCATAACCCCCTATATTCTAAATTTCCGATTCCGAGCCGATTCCAAGATTCCAATTATATATACATACTAGCGGACCCGACAGACGTTGTCCTGTCTACACGTCTTTAATTTGAATAAATTAATATGAAGTTAATATTTGATGAAAATTGTGAATCTAAACCATTCCCAGATCCCCTTGAACACACAAAAAATATCATCAAAATCGGTCCAGGCGTTTGAGAGAAGTTCAGTGACATACACACTCACAGAAGAATTATATATATATATATGGATGGATGAATCTTGTTGAAATTTGGCACAGATGTAGAACATGGTCTGGAAGAACATAGAATACTTATTTCGT